AAAATGGATTGCCTTACAGTTCTGGAGGCTGGAAAGCTAAAATCAAGGAATTGGTGCTCTCTAAAACCTCAGGGGAGTCCTTCCTTCACTTCTTCTACCTAGTTTCTGGTGGCTTGCCTGGGGTGTCTGACATTCCTTAGATTGCAGATACATGCCCTTGGTCCTCCATCTAGTACAGTGTTCTCCATCAACTTCCCTTTGTGTCTCTGCCCCTGGGTCCAAATTTCCCCTTATTGAAAGGGTCAGGTAAAGACTTACCCTAAGACCTCATTTTAACTTGATTATCTCTGCAAAAACCCCTCTTCCAAATAGATCACAAGGCAGCTATTTGTCTACAAGCTAGAAGCAAGGACTCGTCCTTGACAGCACCTTGAGCTCCAACTTTTCAGCCTCTGTAGATGTGAGAAAATAAATTTCTGTTGCTAAAGCCAAATAAGATTATATTCTGATGTGCAGTGAGTCCGGATTTCTACATATATGGGTGGAGGTAGGGAGTGGTATAGACTGTGTCTGTAACAGAAATCATTTTCTGCTCTTTGGTAGATGGGCTCAACATGTCTGAGGGTCCAGCTCTCCCATGTGTACACTCACCAAAATGCCAGCAATGTACACCTTCCTCCCAGCTTTGCATCAAATTCTGGGGGCCACGTAACTCCAGGTTCTCTCAGCCTCTGTCAAAAGCCTGTGGGAAGCAAGAAATTGAAGGCAATTCTGTCCCAGTCTGATCACCCGCCCTTTTTCCTGACACAAAGGTACATAAATGTTCTTTTCTATATTGAGGATTACTCCTGCAATAATTGGGCATGAGTCGGCAAGTCCAGAGTCTCAGTTTTAACCCTAATTTCTTGGAACCTCCTATTTCTCAGTTGTAAACTAAGGGGTTGGGTGACCTGCCCATACTCTCCTGTTCAGCTCTAAAGGTCTGTGACTGGCTGATATTAAAAGAACTTTCTACGCAGAATACTGACTCCCCTCTTCTATTATTAAATAAGTCACTGCCACATTGGGTGGTACAACTGTACTTGTCAAGTATCTGGTACAGAGAGGGCCCTTGTTCTCCTTCCACAATACGTTTGCTTTAAGTGAACCCGGTAGTGACATCAAATAACAATCCTGACGCATCTGCGGTCACAGAAACGAGTGAACAGATTTCTGAGCCCTCCGTGGAGGATGGAAGGACATGGCAGTGATAAGAGATCCTACAGTGTGGGTCAGCGTCTGTGCCTTGGGTGCATGGTTACAAGAATTGCAACACAATTAACTCTCACCCAGAAAACCCACCACATAGCCCAGGCTAGATTTCACCCTGTCCCAGAGTTCTAACTTGAGTTGACTCTACTTCAAACGAAGGAGAGCTCATTTGGCCAAATATTCACAGAGCGTCAGTTTCAGGAATGTGACATGCTGTGAAACCACAGTCCTGTAAGCTTGCGGTCACTGAGATTTTCCAAGGATGAAGGTTTTGCTTTTCAAAGAAAAACATGGCACCACAAAGCTAGAAAGACATAAGGTGATGGTATGGACTGGCCCCAGGAAGCGTTCCCTCCCAGAGAATACCTACTACAGTGCACATGTTCTGGGGAGGACGCAGAGGTGCTGAGAATGGGCTAAATTTGCAAGATTCTCACAATGAGCCAGATCCTACCTTTGAGTAACTTTTCAGGAGACAAAGAAATAGGACGGTTGGGATGAGTTCCACGTCAGCAAGTGGCATCTTGGAGGCCTGGCACATGAGAAACGGAAATCACAACTTCCCTAGAAGGCAGGTCAGGTGGATGGTCAGGATGGCACAGGGCAGCCTGGGAGAGAACCAGGGTGCTAGATCACAGCCGGAAATGAAGCTGGAAGCCCCAGGTCACAGGGCGGAAGAGAGCTTTCCTTGTAGTCTTAACAGGGGACTCAGTGCCCCTGTGAGGCCACATGCCAGGTCCCATGGCCTCTAACCTCCATACCTGGCTTAGAGGTCTGGCAGAGTGGTCCCCAAGGATCGTTGAATGGCCCAGCAGAGGATGTGACCACGCCTGTCTCCCTACATTAATTGGAGATAATCTGATTTCAAAGTAAAGTAGATACCTGCAGAACTACTGAATGCAGAACCAAATCTCCGAAAATTCTGATCGAAGTTTGGAAGGGCACCTGTCATTTAGCCCAGTCTCTCCCTTAAGTCAGCATCCCTGCAGGGGTTGGGGTCCCCAGCTGCAGTGCGAATGCGTCCACAGCCAGGAGGCTTGCCCTCCCCTGGGCATTTCCCAACATTTTCCTTGCGTGGTGTAACATCTCTTCCCTTCTAACTGACCCTGCTCAGTGTGTGCTCTGGCCTTCAACAGGCCTAAGCACGCATTGTACAACAGCTCTTTAAATATCTGAAGACAGGGCCACCACAAACTCTCTAAAATCCCCCAACTTGGTACAGTGCTTTTCTGGATGGGTCCTGAATCAGGCCAAACTCATCTGAACATGAGCAGGTCACATCCTTCAGCAGGCTCCCCACCCCCTAAACAGCCATTTCCTGGGGATCCCAGAGCAATACAGTAGGGCAGTAGGTAGGTACCCTAGAAGCCTGGGCCAACTTACCTCAGAGATAGGGGCCATTTCAGAGAATGAACTATGGTCAGTCCAGCCCAGGATGACCTTTCCTGAGAATCCAGGCAAGCTGTAACCAGCCCCGAGGTCCAGTAATTGCCACACCTGCGTGGTCAGGAGCCACTCACTGTCTGGGGTAAAAACAGACCATTGTCTGTGGACACTGGATTTCATGGACACTGGTGGGGAAAACCACAGAACCCTGAGCTTGGCATAGAAGGGAGAAGCCCGCCCCCTTGTGGACCTTTAGGGGGTGGCAAAGTGCGAAAACACCCAGAAACCTGGCAGATGAGGGGGGAATTGGGAACCTTGGCTTCCTCTTCTGGTTGCATTCCACCAGTTTCATCTGGAGGCCTGCAGCGGGATGGATGGAGACTGTCCTTTCACAGGGAAGAGTCGGCAGAGGACAGGAAGAGAAGTGAGGCAGTAGAGACCGCTGGGTCAATTCTCTGGCAACAGAGAGTTGGGGATATTAACTGTTAGAAAAAAGAAAGAAGGGGGGAAAGTCAGCAGGCGCCTTTCCGTGCCCTGGCCCTCCTGGTGGCCCCAGGGAAATCACAATCCTTCCTTGGGCCTCCCTGGCCAAGCTGTGAGACTGCAGACCCTCTGAATGCTCAGGATTACAGACCCAGCTGGAGGTTTTCAGAGAACAGTCCTGACAATGGTCTACCACTGGTGGCACCACACCCCTGGCTTAAGAGAAGGGGGAGGGGGTGGGAAGCAGTGAGAGCAAAGGGCACCTGTGGGGGTGGGGAGGGCAGAGGGCACCGGGCCCAGGAGGACACCATCCCTGGGGCGGCCACAGTGGTCTCCACTCTTTCCACAGCTTCAGCCAAATTAATCTAAAGCTTCTAGAACTCTCCTCCAAGTGGTGTGTAGACACTGACCCAGAGATACTTTACCTGTGCCATAAAACATGGTGTTTCCTACAGAAGGGACCCAGATCCCCTTAGTGTCCAGTATGGCAGCCCCCAGCATTGACTCGGCTTCCCAGCCATGCAGCTCCAAGCTGCCTTTACTCAGCACTGAGGCTCTGAGGCTGAGTGTGTTTTAATATATTTTTGAGGTAAATTCTGCACAACTCTATAATCAATGAATATCATTGGACTAAATGTAGCCCTGAGAAATGCAAACAAGAAGCACTTCCCTCAAAGCTCTCCAGATAAAAAACAAAGGTGGATCCTTAAAAATTGAATTATCTGGTAAAATAGCTCAAATTTCTGACTGCACTAGGTTCCCAGAGACTGGCGGTCATAGAGTCACCAAAGAAATTGTTTTTAAAGGCTGTGTCCTCTGGCAAAATGAAAAGAATTGGAATCTTTTAAAAATAGCCTTGTATAAGTTGTCTGAAACAGCGTCCTCAGGCTATCGCTCCCCTCCCTAGCTGGAATGACCCGGGGCCAGCGTTCTGAGGGGAGGGGCCATCTTTGCACACCAGGGCACACTAATGCTTCAGCTGCAATTAAATAAGCCTGTCATTTCTCATAGTAAAAAATAAAAGATACCATATGGCTGTTATAAGGCATTAAGTTATTGTGTAAGCTCCCCTAAAAAAATCAGGACTGCAACGATAAATACATCCCAAGTCTACCTAAAAAACTAAAGTCAGGTTGAACATGTAACTAATTGTAGACAGATCCCTTTCAAACACCTATTTAGACCACCCAGTTTGTACAGCATTGCCAAATCCTAAAATTGTAATGAAAATTTTAAAGTCCAAAACCTACAAGCCATCAGAGGTTCAGTAAGCAGATTGTGCCATTTCCAAACTGAAAATGTGCTTGCATCAGCAAGTCACCGGGGCTAACCTTTTTGGATGGAGTCTGGCCTTCAGTTCAGAACATGGCTGTGCCAGGGTCAGATATGTGACAAAACTGTGTTTTCCCGGGGTTAGCCAAGGTTCACAGGGTCAGGACTGGGCCATTTTATCAGTCATGTCAGGCTCACACCCTTTTGCCTGGCATAGATAAAAACTTTATCTTGTCAGTTTGCTAAATCTACTCCTTCTGCCTTATTTTCAATACAAAAAACCTGGACTTGCTTATCTAAATCAGAGGCTGGCCTTTCAAAATACCTTTTTCATAGGCAACTTCTGAGTAAAGGAAACATGCCAATGATTTCTGATCTCATTTTAGTCAATAATTGTCCATAATCAGAGTGACTGGCTGTGTCAAACCTAAAACCTTAATTGCAGAACTGTTTTGGAACTATGAGAAAACAGGGATTCTTATGTTGATGAAACATAACATGACGAAAGGTGTAGATGAGACTGATATTGTTCTTGAAAATGGTTAACTTTTCAAAGTCATTCTTTCCTAAAGGAAGGCAAAAAAAAATCTAAAAAACTTTGTGGGGGGGAACAGGGAATCAAAATGACAATAGGAACAGATAGATAGTTTGGGACATATGACATATATATGCACAGATGATCAAGTCATGCATGTAGTTGTTTAGAAACTGGTTAAATATGATTCGATATACTAATTGTAAATATTGAACTGGTTAGTTCCCCATAGGAATCTTAAATGCAAAACAAGCACCTTTCAAATGTTACTTTATTTGGGAGCTATACAAATTCATTATTTCAATATTTAAAGATTGTGGTATTGTAGTAGAGTCACATAAATATTATAATATACATTTAGAAATTAAATATAATAAAATCAACACAACACTATGGGGAAACTCCCAGGTACACTTCAAATGAGTCCGAAGTCTAGACATAGCAGCCCATCAGATTTCCCCCTGGAAGCGGGTGAACCTTGCGGGGAGATCATCCACAGGGCACACAGTGGGACTGGTCTTCATGGTAGGGGGTCCATTTAGAAGTCTCCAGTCACAATGCCTGGCCAGCTCCACTGTAAATATTTTGAGAAGAATTTTTGCAAACTCTTTCCCTACACAGCTCCTAAGGCCTCCTCCAAATGGGATGAAGCTGAATCTAGATGCATCCTCTGGATGAGGCAGCATAAATCGGTCAGGATTAAATTCCTCTTTGTTGGTGAAGATATCCGCCACCTCATGAGTATCACAGATACTGTAGATAACATTCCAGCCCTTGGGAATCTGGTATCCCTGCAAAAGATTATGAAGTTCTATGGGCTGACAAACTGGAATTTAACTTTCAACAACAAAGCTATAACTGATGTCATTGGAGGAGTTATGAGTTAAAAGAAAAGTGGGGTGTGAGGGGGGCATAGAAAGAATAAGATAAAGACATTCAGATTTCTTATGTCCATCTGGGTCGGGATAATATTATCAAAAGCTTAAGAAATTTAAGGTAATGCACAGGGAAGATTTAAAATCATAAGAGAACAGGATGGTGGAGAGAACTTCTAACTTACATTTAATTCAAAAGTCTTAAGAGCAACGCGAAAGCCCCCTGGAATTGGGGGGTTCAGTCGAAGGGTCTCTTTAATAACACATCCAATATATTTGAGTTGTTCCAAAATTTCCATGTCCAACTTGTTGTCTTGATTGCTCTTGCAAAGTAAACCCTATCAAAACAGTCATACAGAGGTGAACAGTTATTTTGTGCTCCAATAAAAATCAACCCAGCAGAAGTAAACAGGATTTAAGTGGCAGCTAACCCTCAAGAGCCCTGTGATGGGAAAGCATGAAGAGGAAAAGAGTGAGCAATGAGTGACCATTTGCCTTCACCCTTTGGCCCAAATCCATGATTTACAATTCCAAGAGAATGCTGCTTACTAGTGAGGACCACCAAGCTTCCCCCCATTACCACCTCCAATGCCTAGGAATCCCTCCCATCATGCCCCTGAACACACAAGTCCAAAAAAGTGAAATCTATCTTAAAATCTCCAAGATTCTGCAAACAGTGGAGAAGGACCAGGCAAACAAGGTCAAATCCATAGTTCAAGATAAACCTCCTTTCTATTCAAAAAGCTAATTCTTTTAATTCACTGGCCTCCCACCCCTTGACCCTGCACTTGCAAAATACCTAAGAGTGAGCATCACACCTAATTGGGAAGTTGGCTGGAGAACAGCTGAATATCCTCAGTTAATGGGAGCCCTCACCTTACTCTTCAGCTCTTCCCGAACTTTCTGGAGAACATGTGGGTAGAGACCCAGGTAAGTGATCAGAGATGTGGCTGCACTGGCTGTAGTATCATGTCCTCCAAAGAGGAGTTCAGTTGAAGTTTGTTTTAGTGCCTAAAAATGGAAGAAGACCAACGTCTTTACAAGTCTACGTGCAATTTTACAGAGTGATTGCTCAGAACCAACTGAGGGTTCTGGAAGGAAGAGAAGGGCCAAAAACTTGCTCACAGAAAGTCAAGGAAAGCAACATATTCAAATAAGATGCAAAGTCCTTTTAGTTTACCTAGAGTAAGAAAGCCCGTAACATCCCTCTTTACTGGGGACTCCTAAATTAAAAGCCATACTTGCATTAAAGTCTCCCAACATTATTTGCATTTCGCAAATTGCAGCTTTCCCTTCAAAATCTGGAAGGGCTAGAGGATGCCCTTTGTTCCGTTGCAGCCTCTTCCGCGGCTCTCCAGACCCGGTGTCTCCCCTTTCTGCACCTGATGTCTCAGCCTTCCAATCCTCCCTCCCTGGGATCAACTCACTGACTGTCCGCTCTGGCATGCTGGGTCACGGGCCGACTCTTTGGAGGGCCCCAGGAACCGCTCTTGGAAAATCAGGGGACCCACTCCTCATTGCCTTTCCCGTAACTGCCACTCACCTGCATGTCCAGCCTCTCTCCTCTCTCCCAGGAATGCTCGATCAGCAGTTGAAGCACATCTTTGCAGCCCCCGCCCTCCTCCGCCGTCCGCAGCCCGCAAATCTTAGCGCGAATGTTCTCCTCGATGCGAGCGTGGATGAGGTTCCGCGCCTTCATACCCTGAGCGCCCAGAGCACAAGACAATGAACAGATGCCCGGCACCTCAGCCTACCACCCCTAGCTCCGCACCTTGCATGCAGCCCTTACCCTGTACAGCCCGCTGAAAGGCACGTCGATGGGCAACGAGAAGAGATTGCGGATCATTTCTTCGAAGGCCTCCACCAGCTGCTGCTCTGCATCCCCGCCGCTTGCCAACCCGGGCTCACAGCCCAGTAGGATGCGCATGGCGATGCGGAACATGAGGCGCTTCACCTGGGGGTAGACCAGGAGGCCGCGCTCGCCGCAGCTCAGCCACTGTTCCAAGCAATTGCCCACTTCCTCCGCGATCACCGGCACATAGCACTGGAGCGCCTCGCGGCTGAAGGCCCGCATAATCACCTGAGCCCCAGGAGGGAGAGTGTTAAAACCGGGCCCCTCCCGCCCCTCTCACATTCTAGGGTCGCCTTCCTCACATCCCCAAGCCCGCCCGACGCTAGGCACTTCTCGGCTGAGAAAACTAAACTGGGCGTAAGAGAATCCTAGTTAATGCCTAATGCCAGCGCTCGCGCACCATCAATCTACCTAAACAGCTCCAGCAAAAGGTCCCCTATCCCGCATTGGAGCAGCCACCCCCACCCTCACCTTCTTGCGCTGCTTGTGCGAGGAGTCGTGTAGGCTGGAAAGGCAGCCAGAGCCCAGAATGGTGCGCACCGACGCGGGCCAGTGGACCGACACCAGCCGGTGCTCCCCAAGCAAGATGCGTCGCACGTTGTCTGCACCCATCACCCGCACTGTGGGCCGCCCGAACAGATGCGTCTTGTAGATGAAGCCGTATTTCCTGCGCTTCATCTGCAGGAATTTCCTTCGCTGCCAGAGAAGAGAAGCGGGCTGTGAGGAGGCGCCGAGGAGCGCCGCGCCACAGTCTGATCCCAGCCTGTGTCACCTCCCGCCCCAGGGCGCCCACCCCAATGGAAGTTGGTGCGGAGTCTGTTCTGCCCCAAGCTTCCTTACCTGTAACACCATCTGCAATGTTTCTCCAAAGAAGGGGAATCCCATAGTTCCGGGGGGCAAAGGGAGGGCACAGCTGCGGTCGCGGCTGCTAACGCAGTAAAGGTCCCACAGCTTAATCGCGGCCAGGAAGAGCAGCAGCGGTAGCACGAAGGTGCAGAGCGCACTAGCCAGCAGCGCCGGGAGCCCCATCGTGCGCCACAGCCTCCCGCGCCACCTGCTGCCGTCTCCAGCCCTCCGAACCCTGCCGCGCGCCCGCTTTATAGGCGGCCCAGGTTGCTGCCCACATTACCTTGGTCAGACAATTAGTTCACCCAAAGTTCATCTTTAATTGCGGATTGGGCCCCTGGCTCCTCCCCCAGCGAGGCACTGCCCAAAATCTTTAACCGTTTGTTAAGCGCGGAGGCAGAGGCGGCGGTGACGGTTTCCCTCCTAGCGCGCCTCCTGAGGTGCGGCATTAGGAGCAGCCTGTCTCCACTCCCCCCCAACTCCCCTTCACCCCCTTTAAGACGTGCGGAGCTCCCAGACCGCGGCTGCGGAGACGCGGACTCCAGAGAGCGGAAACTACAAGCCGCGGGCTTCCTGGCGGTCTCCTTGGAATCCCTCTCGCTGGGTCCGACAGGAGTCCCAGCCCAGGGCTGCCTTCACAGGCTTTCCTTCACAGGTTCCCTCCCACCTGCAGGGGAATCAAATCAACTGCATTACGGCACAAGTCCAGCTCCACGTCCCACGGGTGGGAAAACTGAAGTTCAGAAACCAGAGCGAAAACGCAGGGCACCCTGCTCTTCCTAGGATCCCACAGAGGAGCCAGGGTCCAAGACAGTGCTGCGGGAGTGAGACTGGACCCGCTGATAGTTGAGCCCATTCTCCACCCCCCTCTGGGAGGCCAGCACTCCGAGAAGGCTTGAGGGGTCCTGATCAAGTGTACAAGAGTCTTCCGGTCCCTCAGAACACTGAGAGGTTTTTTGTTGTTGTTGTTTGTTTGTTTGTTTTTGGCGCAACCCTGCACAAATCAGAGCCCAACTCTGGCGCCCCAGTAGGGACCTCCGGGACAATTCATCCACAGCTCACCAAGCAGCAGCTAGGACCCGGCCTCTACGCAGATTCTCAGGGCCCTGGGGCTTGCAGCTCTACTAGGCAGTGGAGAAGAGGGCCCTAGACTGGCAGGATGAAGAGATAAAGGAAAGAAAACCCCAGAGTCTGGTTTCGGAACCGATTTCATCTCTGCTTTCATGACCGTGGGGAAGTGTCCACACATTCTAATGTCTGTTTCTTCCGCCTCAGTTGGGAGGCGATCACCACCGACCATCTATACCTCGGCTGCTTTTAAGTTTGGAAAAGGGGCCTCTGCTTGCTAGTACAGCCCCCGGCACATAGACTGCTTTACCCCCGGACCTGGGCGCGGAACACTGGCGGCCTCCTCCACTCTCCCAGTTCCCACCCAGAGTAAAACCACCCAGGCGGGAGGGGTGCTCCGTCCCAGCCTTAGTCCGTCCCAGCCTTAGTCCGCTGATGGAAGTGTTGAAATCCTTACCGTCAAGGGGGGTGGGGGGAGGGTTCTGGCCTCCCAATAACTCCCTTTTCTCCCCCAGCTGTTACAGCAGCCAATGCCTGGGGCTCAGGAAGCGCACGTGCACTACTAGGTACCCACCCGGCCGAGTCACACCGCTTTCAGCCGGGGCCACCCGCTCCCGCAGTTTGAGCGCTGAATGAGCTGGGAGCGCTGAAAACGAAACAGAATGATGTAATTTTGTTGAAAACTGGACACCGTCTCTCAAAGGACCGCGCCTTTTACGCTGAAATGTTTCTTGGAGTTCGAAAACTCTTTGATTTCGGGGAGCTGTCACATACTTGGCTGCTCGGTGGTCACAATAGTCCCCAGCCCAGGCGAGATCGGAAAACGTCAGCGGGCTGGTCGGGAACAGCACAGTCCCGCAACGCTTCCAGCCCAATGGCCACTGGGTATATTTCGGAGTCTTGGTATTTCCCATAACTCTGCTCGGCGTTTCAGAGGCTCTACAGAAGGATCTCTCTTACCGTCGTTTCTTCTAACTATTCGGCGACTTAAACTAAAGTTGATGCCAACATCTGGCACCTCCAGGATCCAGGACCAAGACTCGCTAAAGGTAATTCTCAGAAATCCTGGGCCCGCCTCTTTCAGAACGGTGCCTTCAGCGGGAAAGCAAAGCTAGCGATGGGGGCGTGACCTGGGGCCCATTCCCAGTCCTCCGGCTGACCCGCCTGTGACCCCTGCAGGCCGGACCGTGACATCCGAGTGAACCCTGCAGGGCCACCTCGCCAAGTTCAGCGCCCGCCGGGTCACAAGATGAACGGGCTCTGAGCGGTGGAAATTGCCCCGGGAGGGGTGGGGGGGAATGCTCTAATCTATCTACCCATCCAGACCCGTGGGGGCGTCTGGAGGGGGGGGCCTCTGGCAGAAAAGGATTGAATGGGAGAGTGCAGATGGCCAAGGGACATCTTTAAGGGGGGACTGGATCAATAAATTATCGACCTAATAAGGACTTTAATCTAGAAGCTTTGCCAAGTTTTTTTGGATGGTGGTGGGCTGGGAGGAGGGTTGGTTCACTGGAAAACAAAATGTTTCCAAGATATTTATTTACACAACAGCTTCCCTGTTCCTAACAGATGGGGTTGGGGAGTTGTTTCTTTGCAGGGGCAGGGGGGTGAGAACCCAGAGGTAGAGGGGAGTTAGGTGAGCTAAAGGACACTTCCCCCCATCTTCAGCTCCCCAACTCTTGAGCACACCTTCCCATCTCAAGCTTTCAAACCTGCTCTTACCTCTGCTTAAGAAAACTCTCCCAAGTCAAGGAAGTCTCTGTGGGCTTAACCCCTAGGCAATCTGCACAGATAAGCCCGTTTTCTGCTCTCCAAAAGCACTTATCACAAAAGGACACATTCTTGCTGTTCTGTTTGCTAGTTTATTTACTGCGGACCTCCTTGGTAAGAATATCCAGTCCAGGGTGGCAAGAACCAAAGAATCTGGAGTTCAGACATCTCTTGAAGTTAATGATGTATCAATGAGAAACTAGAGAAACATTGGAATCAATACAGACCCCAAAGCAGGTAAATCAGCTTTCTGAGAACCAGCAAAGCTGTACCTGCTTCTGAGAGTGGACTGCCCTCCCCCCCCACCACCACCCCTCATAGACACAACTCCCTGTCTCTCTTTTCCATCAGAATCAGTCCCAAGTTTTGGCCCACTGCTACCTCACCTGAAGTGGAGTTTCTCAAGACAGGCAATGGCCTATAGGAGCACTCTGAGGGCAAGCCCATCTTTGTCACTTCTGTCTGGCCTTGAGGCCTTTTAGCCCGGGGCCTGGCCTCAGGCCTATGGTCAGCAGTGGATGATGAACTGGCCCATGGGGGTTATTCTAGCTTTGGAAGCTCTGCTGTGCTCCTTTTACCTAACCAGACCATACCTGTTGTTTACTCCTTTCCTTCTGCCCCCAGCAGCCACCTTAAGTGTAAGGTCAGGAGGCCACCAACTTCTGGTTCACTAAGAGGGGTCAGCTCAGCCCAGGGGGTGGGGGGCCGCTGGGGGGGGTGAGGGGGGGGGAGCTTCCCTGGCTCACCAGTATAGTCCAGTTGTCCAGTAGGCTATTGGGAATGGTGGCACTGTGGGGTCTTGGCTTTGACTGAAACACTAGTAGGAGGCTCCATTGGAAAGGTGCAGTGATAGTCCTTAAACCAACCCAGGGTTCACTATGAAAGGACAGGATGGCTGAGTCCATATGGTGGACTCTATGTGAAGCAGGGGTTAACTGGTGGAGTAGGGAAGAGCACTGGTAAAAGGGTCCAGGAGCCCAGAGTTGGCTCTTCAGGCAGTTTGTCCTCTGTAATGAAATTGTAGTAGTAAACCAGAAAGTCCCTGCTGCTATTATGGAGATAATTTAGAGCCCCCCAGGCTTATGCTCAGGAAGGAAGCATAAAGGCCTGGCCCTTTTTGGGGTATTCTCTGGATGGGTCTTTCCTTGGGTTCCCCCCAGGGAGCTATTGCCCAGGTAAGCCCTTGCCTCCTTGCTCAGCTACTGGCAGGAAACTCTAATACTTGGCCTTCCTGTTTTGGGTACACACATCCCAAGCCTCTTGGATTATATTATCTCAACCTCCCAAGAAAATAATCCCATCTGAAACATTTTAGGGTGCTTATTGTCCCCTGCATCAATGAGAATACTAAATGTGTTCTTGAAGTAGAAATTTTCCTTTAAGAAAGTTGCCAGCAGAATCTGGTGATGCTGGGCCACTTAGAGCCTAGAAGTGCCCACGGTTTTGGGTGTCCGCGGAAATGGGCTGAGTGGGCAGACCCACCAAACCAAGGCCAGCTGCTGCCTGAGGGCCTTCTGCCTTAGTGTATCTTCCTGCAGCCCAAAGTCAGACCAGGGATGTGCTCGCTCCCGGGCGCACTGCCACACCTCACTTTCACAAGTTGCAGGTCCAGGCCCAAAGGCCAGATGTCTGGCACCGTCCACGGGGCACAATCCTCCCCGCAGCCTGTCTCTCCTCTCTC